CACACAAAAAAAAAAAAAAAAACAAGACCGCAGCGAGGGAGGAGGGGGGGGGGGGTTGAGCCACGGCTCCATCATTCTTGACCTCGGCATTAAGTGGAGGTGACTGGACAGCTTAACGCCCGCGGAAAGAGCCCCAGGTACTCCTTGGTAAGGAAACCGGGAACCAGAGCAGGTCTAGACATTGTAGAGTCTAGAAATTTGGAACCTTGGCCGTCCAGCCGGTAGCCCTTCGCTATATCGACGGAGCCATAAGAAAATGTCCATTTTATTTATATTCTTGCAACAATCATCCTTAAGGAACGTGTTTTTTCTTTTGGCGCTACAGCCCCAATTTGGGCCTTGGCCTATCTCCATGAAATTCTCCGTTTCACTTCGGTTTACTAGATCTTAGACGCGAGGTAGGACTCCTCGGGAGGGTGATCAGCTCGTCGCAAGGCCTCTACCTGTACACAAACACAAACGCACACATACACTAAACATTCATGCAGTGAGTGGGATTCGAACCCACGATTCCGGCTTCCTAGTGAGCGAAGAGAGTGCATGCCTTAGACCGCTCGGCTACAGTGACGGGCGGAAATGTGTTACAGATCGTCAGAATGCAAATTTTAAGTTTATGTGGAAAAGGTCACACAGTCATACGTAGTTTTAATGTAACACATGAAGAAATGTACATCTTAGGTCAACACCTTGCTTATTGGACTGAGTGTTAGCTGCACTATGACTTTATATATGGATGGCGGATCAAAGGTGATACTGTTTGTTCGAGGGTGTTGTGGCTCTAACACGCTCAGGTCCGTACTTCATTTTATCTAAAAATACTGCAGAAACCAGCCATTTCAAAATATTCTAGTTATGTTAGCCTTTGAACACAATTATGGGGATTCCGAAAGTTAAGGAAGTAAAAGCTGTATGAATGTTAGATGATCATACTCCATCTTTAATTGTGCCATGGACGTTCGACAACTCTTCTGTGTAGTTTCCCTACCAAAGTTCTGCATATAATCCTTGTCTCCTTCATTCTAACAATATTTCCAACTCACTGTAGCCTTCAATATCCTAATACTTAAAAATTTATTAAACTCGAATTCACTGCCATTACAAAGGGGCGAGAACTTCATGAAATCCATGTAGGACACAATAAATTTGGAGTATAAAGAGGAATCTACAAGAAAATGGAGAGAACTGTATAGTGAAGAGCTTCACAGCTTTTACATTTTGCCCCAAAATTATTACGTTGATAAAACTAACGATTATCTGACGGGAAAGATAAGTAGCAAACACGAGGAAGGTGAGGTGTCTAGGCCCACCTATTGCTGAAAATTTTGAAAGAATGAGCCCACGAAGAAAAAAAGAAAGAACAGGTGGAGCATAACAGAATGCTTAAAATGAAATTCAAAGCAATAGGGTGTGAGGATTTGAACCGAATTAAATGGAGTCGGGCTAAAGCGAACATGGTAAAGAAAACTTAGGGGTCTACGAAAGCCGGAAAATTTTGACCAGCTGAGCAAGTATCAGCTAGGTTCGATCCCGGGTCTGGTCAAGTGGGATTTGTGGTGGACAAAGTGGCGCTGGGGCAGGTTTTCTCCGAGTATTTCGGTTTCCCCTGCCAATCTTCATTCCACCAATTGCTCCACAATCACCCTCACCTATCATCTGGGGCTGGTTCAATAGGCCAGAAGTGGCCGCAGTACAAGGGACTTAGTCCCACCCCACTAGCAATAAAAGAAATAATAGACAGAGGTACAAGACTACATGTAAAACAGTTGTGTTTGTTACGCCGTTGTTGTGCTGAAGCAAACTGCTTCTTCGGTAACGGGTTCCACGGATGGTTATAACTGCTGATAGAGAGAAACTAGAGGTGTCTGTTCAAGAGCTCAAGCGCAGGCAAGTGAAGAAAGGAGGGGGCGAGGGTGGAGAAGAACGGATTTAATCTCATTAACTAATTATTTACAGAATGACGAGTACTTAATTGCAATACTTCACCGTTTAGACCTGATGAGGTGCAGACCGACATCCAGGGTTCAAACTTCGTCGAACGGGGACAATAGTAACGCGTCGATTTTAGCTCTAAGTGCCTTCCTATTCTCTGAAATTTCTACAGCACATTTGTTAAATTGTACTTGAATACAATTCAAAGAAAGAGTAGGAGCAAAGGCGTACATCCCAGGTTGTTGCAGGAATCCCTGAAGCCCATAATATAGGAGCAAGTTTAAATTCTTGCTGACTCTTCCGAGCTCATAAAGCGAAAAGATGTGCCCACGTGACATGCCATAAAGACGTATGGGAAGTATTGAGGTAATCATCAATGAATTCTGATCCTAAGATAATGGATGGAGTTGAACACGGGGTCTACCCAAACTCTGAGCGTAATGGCAAGGAAACAAGCCCTCGCTCTTACCGGAACTCGAAATATAGATCAGAACGAAGCCTCAACATGGCGCTCCATGTTCCGTTGGCTTCCTCTTGTTTTCTCTGCCTTTCAAGTTGAAATTTTTTTTCTTTCTTCTTTATCACAGATATAATAAAAAGTAATCGTTATTATTAACAAAATCATTTTTTTTTGTATTTTAGGTCTTGCTGGGAAAATAACACTGAAGACAGAAGAATACACCTACATCCGGAAACAGGAGTGACGCGAGACGAACCTTCCACGCCTGTGTGAATGACTAGGAGACGTTTCATCGGAAACAAATTGGAAATATATCAGTTCTGATAATTTTTACTATTTAGTACACTTCCCAGAATGTAAGATTGTTAACAAAGTGAAAACCAACAAAAAGTCACAGCCAAGCTGCAAAAAATGTACTATAAAATTAATCTCATCAGACCTTCAGTATAGTGATGGTTGCTTAACGTACTCAAGAAATGACGAAGAATTTGGTAACCCTTTTCCACGCTATATCCAAGATATTTCTTCTTCTACTTACAACTAATTTAAAAAATGAAAGGTCTCGGTTCTCTGATCTTTAAGCAGTTACAGCTATTATTATTATTATTATTATTATTATTATTATAGCTCCTATAGTTATACATCTGCCTTAGAGAGACTAAGATTGCACCCTCTAAGTCTGCGTAGACATCATCTTGATGCACTCTTCTTCAT